TCTGTGATACTTTATGGCATTTGCATCAGGACAAAAGATACAGAAAAATGGAATGAGGAAAAACACTGGTTCCCCTGTCCAGTTATTCCATGCACATTTGTCTTTTAAAACAATGTTTTCCCATTGTAAATTTAAACTGTGGACACAAACACATTGCAACATTTATTGGCTGGCATATTCCGTTAGATCTGGTCCGGTGCATTACTACAGAGTTAGCCAGAACATTATTTGCTTGACTCTGAACAGGTAATTGATAAAGACTGTGCTTTCATGATTATTCAGCCCACATTAAATAGACGCTTGCTAAAGTGACTGAGGCTGTATCAATAAAACTCTACTCTGCTATGTTTTATAAACAGAAGGATCATGTGATGAATTTGAAGTCACCATGGTTATCACATGACTGATTTTGGATTTCCAACGGATAGGTGTACACAGCTCGACAATGTAGTTTATGCTTTCAGCAAGAAAAGGGTTCATTAGTGCTTTACTATATGTTGATTTAACTCTGTGGTAATGCACCTGACGTGCACCTGACGAGATACAGCAAAATATGCCAGGCAATTGTGCAATGTATTGTTTGTGTCCGCATTATTTAAAAATGTGTGTTTGCAGTCATGCAATCATACTTACATAGTTCCTGGCTGAATACCAGGGCCTCTAACAATGAGAGGAACTCTAGTGTCAAAGTCAAAGGGCATGGCCTTGCCCTTGATAAGACCAAACTGGCCTAAGTGATATCCATGATCGGAAGTGTACAGAATGTACGTGTTGTCTAGCTCGCCCAAATTGTTGAGCTCGTCTACAATCTGTGTAATCACAAAAGGATAGTTTATCAAATTACATCTGTTGTTGGACATGTTTTTGGTTATATTTTAATACTTGAGCCCTGAATCCATGATTCAAATTTTGATTACACCTGAAAGTTTTAGGTTGATCCAGCAACTGTAAGTCAACTTTTGACGCATCTCAAAAACAGGCTGAATGTGCAAGTCAACTTCTAAAGGGAGTACACACGACAATATTTTTAATAATTTTGGTTGTTGCGTATCCTTTACAGGACGTTGCAGAACCAACCCCACCTGGCTGTTGTGTGGTTTTTCTAGGCAAATTTACATCCAGTAGTTTGCCATTGCTTTCTAGAATGTCGTCTTTCTTGATACGACTGTCGAAACCAAGGCAAGGCGCATGGTCCGCAGCTGGGATCGAACCCGGCATCCCGGCATTATGAAGCGTTCGCATCGACTTAGCCACAGAGCCGACATATTTCAAATAATAGTGATTTAAATTACCAAATGTCTAAAAGAAATGATTATACAAATTATAAAATAGCGAAAGTATACACAGAAAATGCAACTAATACTACAGATCATAATTATAGCCTTGACAAGATATTATTCAGATGAAAACTACTACTACTGCAAGCTCCAAAACTTGTCACTAAATTATTGGCTGAAACTAAAACTCAATTTTGTTTAAATAAATCTCCAAAAAGGATATAAGGTCGTGGGTTCAAATCTGCATCGAAAATGATCAGATCGATCCACCCTGAATTGGCACCGGGTAAAGTCCTGAGAATTAAAGACGGCTGGCATAATGTTGACTACATGAGCCACTAAGTTGCGTATCATCTATGAAAATTAGGACTAATATTACAAACCCAATATTCCCAATGGTGGGGAAAGGGTTGTTGTATTTTTCACCCCAAAATAAATAGGAATTTCAGGGAAAATTCTGTCAAGGGCTACTGGCACAATCTGGCGAGCAGACAAACACACTTTTTCTAGTTATATCCAGCTGTGTGAGGTCAGTGGTGGATTACAAACTCTTCCACCAAACTTGTGGCGAGAACTAGTGCTAGCTCATTTCTTGTCCAGAACCAGGATTATATACAGAACCAGGATCATGTACACAACCAGGATCATGTACAGAACCAGGATCATGTGCACAACCAGGATCATGTACAGAACCAGGATCATGTACACAACCAGGATCATGTACACAACCAGGATCATGTACACAGCCAAAATCTATGGCTGATTGGTGGAGGCAGGAGGCTAACACATGTAGCTCCATGTAAATTAGCTCCCAAAATCGAATCCAGATGATGATGATGATGATTTTTATGACTATAATGTGGGATATTACATAAATGATGCCTAATTGTCATAAGGAACAAAAGGGATGATGATGATAATGATGATGATGATGGTGGCTGATGATGACAATAAGAATGACAACAATGATGATGACACTGAAGAGGATTATGTGCGGCTACCTACATTTTCAACCAGGTCATCCACAGACTGGAGAGTCTGCAGCCGTCGTCGCTGTAACAAATCTGTGAAAATCTTATGCTGTGGCATCATGGGATAGATGTGCTGCAAAAGCCACTGCTTGTCCGGGTTCGGGGCATAGTTCCATGACTGGGTTCTGGAGGGACAAGTGGAAAACAATTTCATCAACTTTTCAGTCCCAGTCAGCTCATCATGTAGGGTCAACTTTTACCTATGAGAATCAAACCACAAACCACTTAACCTGTGTTAAGCTTCTTTTTTCTTTGTTTACCGGCTGAAAGCTCTGGTGGAAAGTCCTGGTTGTACGTCTATTTGGTTTTATGTCAGGGCTAGAGTATATCCATTTTACTAGCTTATTAGTGTGTAGTTAGTTGTTCCTTGCCGCTGGGCAGATGCATGCTGACTTCCAAGGAAGCATCCACTCAGTCCACTCCTACGATACACTTGCTGGGGAGCTGGGGGTCTGTTACTGTTTTCCTCACAATGGGCGCCTGGAACCCACATGGGGGATTTTAGCTTAACAACATTATAAAAACCTGGCAAGATGCTCTAATATGCCTCAGTATTTGTGTTGCTGCAGCTGTGACCATTTTGCCCTTATGTGATGTTTTATGTTCTTTTAGTCGACCACTGCCTTGGAATTATCCAGCTAAATGTTCTGTTGCCTAAAGAGTTAATTTCTGGCTGTCATCTCTGATCATATTTGCTAGCGCTTTGATCTTTTTCTTTTGCTCTCAGTTCCCTAATGGAGTAATTTACCTCAAACAAAGGTTAAAGTTAAGATTGCATCATTGCACAAGGTCTTATCCTATATGGCTCAGTCTCTCAGCCGACCGTCCAGCTGCCTGCTGACAGTGCCACATAAAGCACAAACTCCATAGCTCTGGCAATGATCTCTAGATGTCACCGTAAAAACTGCACTCATAAATCGAAAAACGAAGCCAGGTAACTAACCCACAACCTTCAAACTTGACCCCCTCGGCACAGAGACCCCAAAAGTTTTTTCCCTGGACGTGAACCAGGGACCTTCTGTGTTTTAGGCGGATGTGATAACGACTACTTTGCAGAAACCTCTGATAAAAATATCAGGGCACATCCAGGATTTGAACCTGGGACCTCTTGCACCCTAAGCAAATAAATTATACTCATAGACAAGTGGTCGGCAAACTTTTTAGTCAACAGAGCCAAAAATCAGCAGCAGCATGATTAAACTTTTTTCTGAGAGCCAAATTTCTTTTTAAGAACCAAATTTGGCAGAGTCAAAACCAATTTGTGGCAAAACAGGCGAGCCGCACTCAGGTCGCTAAAGAGCCGCATGTGGCTCATAAGCCGCAATTTGCTGACCACTGCCCTTGGCCACCACACCCTTGAACAACTTGTGTATTATCTTTGACCACAGTTTAAGTACCACAGACCCATAGTCAGATTTTTTATCAGGGCTCTTTTTTTTTTTTTTCTCTAGAAAAAAAATGCTGGCCGTCATCACTTCCTACTTCCTAGGACTTGACGTGGGATCCACTAAAGGCCGGGTCAAGCTGGAAGAGAAGGTTATTTCTGAAAAAAGCTCCAGCACCATTCGGATTTGAACCCATGAACTTTTGATCCACAGGCGAGCCTCTAGTACTACACCAAGGCTGCTCCCTGCAGACTGAGAGGATATATTTGTGTCGCCCAGCTACCAAGCTGAATGCAGGGCATGACATTTTTAGCTGCAGATTTTGTTTGGAATGCTTTTGACTGTGACCAACGTGGCTTGAGTTGTGAACTGAAGATTCACAAAATGGCGAGTAGCCTGTTGCCAGAGATAACTGATGGTGCCTTATGCAATTAATTACGTGTGCAACTAATGAAGTATTGAAACTGCTGCTTCATCGATGATAAACTGCATTTCTAATTGCCGCACTGTTTGTGTTGGCACTTCTGATGGCTGCCTTATGCATTTAAGCCATGTGCATGCTACTGACTTTGCTGAGACTCCAGTGCTACTTTGCTGAGACTCCAGTGCTACTGACTTTGCTGAGACTCCAGTGCTACTGACTTTGCTGAGACTCCAATGCTACTGACTTTGCTGAGACTCCAGTGCTACTGACTTTGCTGAGACTCCAGTGCTACTGACTTTGCTGAGACTCCAGTGCTACTGACTTTGCTGAGACTCCAGTGCTACTGACTTTGCTGAGACTCCAGCGCTACTGATTTTGCTGAGACTCCAGCCTGTGTCAGTTTTTTTATACAAGGGACAGTGATGGAAATTCTGTGTGGTTTTCGCTGGCACAGGAACGGTGCAACCATGGGGGCCACCCGTTTGCTTTCATGTTGAAATGGAGATTACCTGAAAGCTGAAATAGCATATGACAATGGGACAGTATAGAGCTTTCAAGAGCACAATAATTGTAAGCAACACTTACCTGTGATCTGTGTTGTTGACAAACATATGCTGGTATTGTGGGGCTGCATCTTCCGGTCCGTGGGGGGCTGGGAGACTAAGCACCATCATCACTGGTCTGATTTCCGAGAAGTTAAAAAAAAAATGTATTTTTAAGAAAAAAAAATTTTAATTATATCTTTCATTATAAGAAATCAACAATGAATGAAGCAAGGGCTCAAAGATAACTGATCACAAACTTCAGAAAGAGATAGTCACCATACTTGGTCATGTTATGAAAAGAAGGAAACTGGAACAAACAGCAACCAAGGAAGAGATCCATGGAAAGAGAGACAGAAGTTAACATGATCAGGTTCTTGACAGCCTTTTGTCATAGCATGAAGGTGTGGGTGTCAGCACATGAGCTGACACATGAGCTGACACATGAGCTGACACATGAGCTGACACATGAGCTGATATATGAGCTGACATATGAGCTGACAGATGAGCTGACACATGAGCTGACACATGAGCTGACACATGAGCTGACACATGAGCTGATATATGAGCTGACATATGAGCTGACAGATGAGCTGACACATGAGCTGACACATGAGTTGACACATGAGTTGACACATGAGCTGACACATGAGCTGACAGATGAGCTGACACATGAGCTGACAGATGAGCTGACACATGAGCTGACACATGAGCTGACACATGAGCTGACACATGAGCTGACACATGAGTTGACACATGAGCTGACACATGAGCTGACACATGAGCTGACACATGAGCTGACACATGAGCTGACACATGAGCTGACACATGAGCTGACTCATGAGCTGACACATGAGCTGACAGATGAGCTGACTCATGAGCTGATATTTAAACTGACAAATTTTGGGGTTGGAACCCTACTTGGTGATGACGATGATACAATAAACTGTGTGATATCCACATGGAGTAGTTGGGGGGGGGGGGGGGGGGGGAGAGAGAGAACTGATGTAATGAAGGTGAGAATAAAAGAATGGAAGTGACTGAAAACATTGTAGAAAATGGCCGCGGCTGCAGTAGTTAGCGGATGAAGATGTATGGACAGGGAAGACACAGTGAATGTGTTGAACGCCAGAGACACTGAAACAAAGAAATCAAAGATGAGAAACCAGCGTGCAGAAACTGGCTACAGGGCAAAGAAAGAAGATAAACCAATCAACTCCTAGTGGATACATTGAGCATGGAGACATTGAGATGACTGCTGCATGGGAGGACAGAGCAACACATGGGCCAGACTGATGCACCAGAATGTCAATACAAACAACAAATAACAAGAAAACACTGGAGAAAATGAAAGCTGTAGAGTGAATTAATGCATGAAAGAAAATAAAAGCATAAGAATGAAAGAAAAGAAGTGAATGAAAACTGGGAGAGAATGAAAATACAGGACAAATATACAAGTATAAAAGAGTTAAAATATATATGTTTGCACCTTTAACACTGCACAACAGGTTACCCCATACGAGTAAAGTGCCCTTGACAGGGTTTCTAGAATTTGCCACTGTTCAATTTTCATCTGAATATCAGCCTCTTGTGTTACTGGGGTCCATCTGTAAGGCTTTGATGCAATCCCAGAGAGGTCAAAAGTAAAGTAAAGATCCCCTTTTCATGCCCTTAGGCACATTGGGCATATGGGAAGAGCATTCCTATTTTTATAGATCAATCAGCACTATGTGGGTTATGTGGTCAGCATCCTGGTACTCATTTTAGGCTGGAACAACCTGCGATGAACCATACCATGATAAGTATCCACGAAGCCAGCAGTAATCCCAGAGAAATAGGATTTGTTTTAAAGGATGGAAGAAAATGAAATTGTGGAAGAAAATGAAATTGTGGAAGAAATTAAAATTGTGGAAGAAAATGAAGCTGTGGAAGAAAATGTAGCTGTGGAAGAAAATGAAATTGTGGAAGAAAATGCAACTGTGGAAGAAAATGAAACTGTGGAAGAAAATGTAGCTATGGAAGAAAATGTAGCTGTGGAAGAAAATAAAGCTGTGGAAGAAAATGAAGCTGTGGAAGAAAATGTAGCTGTGGAAGAAAATGAAGCTGTGGAAGAAAATGAAATTGTGGAAGAAAATGCAACTGTGGAAGAAAATGAAGCTGTGGAAGAAAATGTAGCTGTGGAAGAAAAAAGATGTGGAAAAAATGTAGCTGTGGAAGAAAATGTAGCTGTGGAAGAAAATTAAATTGTGGAAGAAAATGAAGCTGTGGAAGAAAATTAAATTGTGGAAGAAAATGTAGCTGTGGAAGAAAATTAAATTGTGGAAGAAAATGAAGCTGTGGAAGAAAATGTAGCTGTGGAAGAAAATGTAGCTGTGGAAGAAAATGAAATTGTGGAAGAAAATGCAACTGTGGAAGAAAATGAAGCTGTGGAAGAAAATGTAGCTATGGAAGAAAATGTAGCTGTGGAAGAAAATGAAGCTGTGGAAGAAAATGAAGCTGTGGAAGAAAATGTAGCTGTGGAAGAAAATGAAGCTGTGGAAGAAAATGAAATTGTGGAAGAAAATGCAACTGTGGAAGAAAATGAAGCTGTGGAAGAAAATGTAGCTGTGGAAGAAAATGAAGCTGTGTAAGAAAATGTAGCTGTGGAAGAAAATGTAGCTGTGGAAGAAAATTAAATTGTGGAAGAAAATGAAGCTGTGGAAGAAAATGAAGTTGTGGAAGAAAATTAAATTGTGGAAGAAAATGTAGCTGTGGAAGAAAATGAAGCTGTGGAAGAAAATGTAGCTGTGGAAGAAAATGAAATTGTGGAAGAAAATGCAACTGTGGAAGAAAATGAAACTGTGGAAGAAAATGTAGCTATGGAAGAAAATGTAGCTGTGGAAGAAAATAAAGCTGTGGAAGAAAATGAAGCTGTGGAAGAAAATGTAGCTGTGGAAGAAAATGAAGCTGTGGAAGAAAATGAAATTGTGGAAGAAAATGCAACTGTGGAAGAAAATGAAGCTGTGGAAGAAAATGTAGCTGTGGAAGAAAATGAAGATGTGGAAGAAAATGTAGCTGTGGAAGAAAATGTAGCTGTGGAAGAAAATTAAATTGTGGAAGAAAATGAAGCTGTGGAAGAAAATTAAATTGTGGAAGAAAATGTAGCTGTGGAAGAAAATTAAATTGTGGAAGAAAATGAAGCTGTGGAAGAAAATGTAGCTGTGGAAGAAAATGTAGCTGTGGAAGAAAATGTAGCTGTGGAAGAAAATGAAATTGTGGAAGAAAATGCAACTGTGGAAGAAAATGAAGCTGTGGAAGAAAATGTAGCTATGGAAGAAAATGTAGCTGTGGAAGAAAATGAAGCTGTGGAAGAAAATGAAGCTGTGGAAGAAAATGAAATTGTGGAAGAAAATGCAACTGTGGAAGAAAATGAAGCTGTGGAAGAAAATGTAGCTGTGGAAGAAAATGAAGCTGTGTAAGAAAATGTAGCTGTGGAAGAAAATGTAGCTGTGGAAGAAAATTAAATTGTGGAAGAAAATGAAGCTGTGGAAGAAAATGAAGTTGTGGAAGAAAATTAAATTGTGGAAGAAAATGCAACTGTGGAAGAAAATGAAGCTGTGGAAGAAAATGTAGCTATGGAAGAAAATGTAGCTGTGGAAGAAAATGAAGCTGTGGAAGAAAATGAAGCTGTGGAAGAAAATGAAATTGTGGAAGAAAATGCAACTGTGGAAGAAAATGAAGCTGTGGAAGAAAATGTAGCTGTGGAAGAAAATGAAGCTGTGTAAGAAAATGTAGCTGTGGAAGAAAATGTAGCTGTGGAAGAAAATTAAATTGTGGAAGAAAATGAAGCTGTGGAAGAAAATGAAGTTGTGGAAGAAAATTAAATTGTGGAAGAAAATTAAATTGTGGAAGAAAATGTAGCTGTGGAAGAAAATGTAGCTGTGGAAGAAAATAAAGCTGTGGAAGAAAATGTAGCTGTGGAAGAAAATGTAGCTGTGGAAGAAAATGTAGCTGTGGAAGAAAATGAAATTGTGGAAGAAAATGAAATTGTGGAAGAAAATGAAATTGTGGAAACAAATTAAATTGTGGAAAAAAAATTAAAGCTATGGTTAGAGTGAAACCAAGGGAAAGAACCGAAGCAAAGGGAGACCACAAATTTCAAGACTTCAAGACATAACGAAAGCCAAATCCTTACTTTGTTGGGAAGCGCCTCTTGCTGTCCTGAAGAAAAGCCAGGCTATCATTGGCTACCAGGTCGGTCAGGTAATCTGCATAATAGTTGTCCCCATGTTTGGTCTTGACCCCTCGCTCATCCACCACGCTGTAGTTGTAAAACCGAGAGTTCTTGATCAAGCCAACCCACCGATGCCAACCCGGTGGTGTGTGGCTGCCATCATACTCATTGAGGTACTTGCCAAAATACCCTGTAGGGACACCAACAGAGGGAAAAGGTTGGGTGTAAACAGATGTGCATTTTTTAAAGTGTGACACTGTGTGTGATGGGACAAATTAGTTGGGGAGAAGTTGGGGTCTGGTTATAGCTCAGGTATCTGTGTTACCTGTGTGAGTAGCTCAGGTATCTGTGTTACCTGTGTGAGTAGCTCAGGTATCTGTGTTACCTGTGTGAGTAGCTCAGGTATCTGTGTTACCTGTGTGAGTAGCTCAGGTATCTGTGTTACCTGAGTGAGTAGCTCAGGTATCTGTGTTACCTGAGTGAGTAGCTCAGGTATCTGTGTTACCTGTGTGAGTAGCTCAGGTATCTGTGTTACCTGTGTGAGTAGCTCAGGTATCTGTGTTACCTGAGTGAGTAGCTCAGGTATCTGTGTTACCTGTGTGAGTAGCTCAGGTATCTGTGTTACCTGTGTGAGTAGCTCAGGTATCTGTGTTACCTGAGTGAGTAGCTCAGGTATCTGTGTTACCTGAGTGAGTAGCTCAGGTATCTGTGTTACCTGAGTGAGTAGCTCAGGTATCTGTGTTACCTGAGTGAGTAGCTCAGGTATCTGTGTTACCTGAGTGAGTAGCTCAGGTATCTGTGTTACCTGTGTGAGTAGCTCAGGTATCTGTGTTACCTGTGTGAGTAGCTCAGGTATCAGTGTTACCTGTGTGAGTAGCTCAGGTATCTGTGTTACCTGTGTGAGTAGCTCAGGTATCTGTGTTACCTGTGTGAGTAGCTCAGGTATCTGTGTTACCTGTGTGAGTAGCTCAGGTATCAGTGTTACCTGTGTGAGTAGCTCAGGTATCAGTGTTACCTGTGTGAGTAGCTCAGGTATCAGTGTTACCTGTGTGAGTAGCTCAGGTACCTGTGTGAGTAGCTCAGGTATCTGTGTTACCTGTGTGAGTAGCTCAGGTATCAGTGTTACCTGTGTGAGTAGCTCAGGTATCAGTGTTACCTGTGTGAGTAGCTCAGGTACCTGTGTGAGTAGCTCAGGTATCTGTGTTACCTGTGTGAGTAGCTCAGGTATCAGTGTTACCTGTGTGAGTAGCTCAGGTACCTGTGTGAGTAGCTCAGGTATCTGTGTTACCTGTGTGAGTAGCTCAGGTATCAGTGTTACCTGTACAGACCAGGTGTGGCAGATGTAATTATATGAATCTGAGCATCACATGCCATATGTTTTTCTTCTTCTTCTTCCCATTCACCTACTGTAAACTCTGGCAGAAAGTTATGGTTTTTCACCCACTTCTGGACTTAGGTCTTGTTTGAGAACTTGAGTTTGTCATGCACATCTGTTTTACAGATCTAGCTTATTTGTATGCAGACTGTTTGTTCCTAGCCTCTCAGGGAGATGCAGAGTCAACTCTTATGACATGCTCGTTACAGAGATAGTAGGTCTATTCTTATCCACCCACCCACACCATGGGTCCTGGCACCCACATGGGGAAACGGTATATAAAAAAGACTCGGAAAGTTCTGAGAACAAACACATAGAAGAATGAGTTACATGTTGATATATGACATTGATAGGAACAACTGGAAACTAAGGGTGGGTAACTGATGAGTGGAAGATCCCAGGTGATTTCTGTGAGGAAGAAAAAATGTGATGGGATTTAATGAGGCGAACAACCACTGGAGTTTACAGCCACTGAACACTATGAAGAAGAAGAAAAAAAAAGGAAGAAGAAAAAGAAGAAGAGGACCAACTTTCTAATGACACATAATATTCTTTTCTTCTTCTTCTTCTTCTTCCACTTCTTCCCTTTCACCAGCTGTAAACTCTGAAAGAATATTCTGGTCATTCATCTACTTCTGGTCTGCAACCTTGTTCTAGGACTTTAGTTTTGCGTGCACATATGTTCTACAGTTGACTTATCTATGTGCAGTCTGTTGGTTTCTCGCCTCTCAGGCATATGCACTCTGACTTTGAAAGTAATGTCTATCCTATCTTGGCCAGACCCCTGTCTTAGCCTGTTTCTAAGATATCTGTGGAGAGGTGTAGGCAGGTGTTGACCAGTATCAGCCCTGGTACTGCTGCACTATTACATCTGTCTCCCCTGGTACTGGTGCACTATTACATCTGTCTCCCCTGGTACTGGTGCACTATTACATCTGTCTCCCCTGGTACTGGTGCACTTTTACATCTGTCTCCCCTGGTACTGCTGCACTATTACATCTGTCTCCCCTGGTACTGCTGCACTATTACATCTGTCTCCCACATAATATCTGACATTTTTAACATTTTAATGCACTGACATTTCACAACTCTGTGCTGAAACTGTGAACATGTGCTGAAACTGAACATGTGCTGGCAATGTTCAAAGTTACTTCCCCATGTCTAGCTGGCCTACAGGCTTGATAGAAGCTTCAGCTTGCGTGCATATTCTCTGGGTCGCAGGGTCATGCTGTGAATCAAATGTTGCCCTCTGCACACTCTTGTCTAACACATAACTATGAGTGATGTACTCTTGAATGTCAGCCACATGCAGTGTAACCTGATCCCCAGTGTTGCTGCTTGCCTCCAGTTTTCATTCTGGTTCACACAAGAACCTGACTGTGTCACCTGATACTGCTGGGTGCTTGTATAAATATGCACAAGAAATGATTTGATAGATATACAGGGGTTAGGGAGGGGTGAGGGGGGTAAACTATCATGTATATCAGGATAGATGGTACTCTGATATGACGTATGAGTTCTCTGCTTTGCTGTCTTTCTTCCATGTAGAAATATAGGGAAAACAGAATATAACATATGGCGGGTGTAATGAATTTATCTGAATGGGTCTACAAGGTAACATACAATTTGAGTGTGTCTGTATTTGGGGGACATCCAGAATATAACATAAGGTATATGGTGCTAAATTTAGAGACATCAAGAATTTAACAAATATTGTGTAGGGCTGTATTTGGAGACATCAAGAATATAACAAATGTTGTGTAGGGCTGTATTTGGAGACATCCAGAATATTGTGTGGAGCTGTATTTGAGGATGTCCAAAATACAAGAAATGATGTGTGGGGCTGTATTTGAGGATGTCCAAAATACAAGAAATGTTGTGTGGGGCTGTATTTGAGGAAAATCCAGAAAATAACCCAAGTTGTGGAGGACTGAAGTGCACTTAACAGAATCCATGAATGATATCATTTAGAATTTAAGCCGCAGCTGTAAGGGTCTGTACTGAGAGATCAAACACACCAGTATGGACATAAAATAAACTGAATCATAAATGCTATAAACAACTTGTGCTTCAAAGAACTAATTATTCATTTCCTGGTGCTTCGCAGAACTCTTCCCTCTTCTTAGCATTCACCGACTGTAAATCTGGGAAAAGTCCTTGTTGTTCGTCCGCTTCTGGACTTTTGGTCATGTTCCAGAACTTACGTTTTGTGTGCCCATACATTTCACAGATCTGGCTTATTTGTGTGCTGACTGTTGGTTCCTTGCCTCTCAGACAGATGAACTCTGATTCAAAAGGAATTGCCCCTTAAAATAGTCAGTTGCTTCTTAGGGTACAGTTGTTCTATTCTTTTTCCTCCCCAAAATGGGGCTCTGGATCCACACGGAAGGAATTAAGTGATTTGACACAATCACCAGTATGCATCTCCGAGTGAGAACTAGACAGAACTGATCAAAGAAAAGATGACTGAAAGCTTATAACAGTATAGCGAGAAAGTCCTTTCTCTGGAACCCACAAACACAGAGGATGTTCTTATGTCATTATATATACATCTAGACTTATACAACTAATATAGTGATCTATCATAATACATACATCTATTCATGTTACTAACATAATGGCCTATCATACCTACAAACTTACCTACAGACCTTAGCAACTAAAAGACAGATATTATGGAGAACCTATCCTCCTACATACACACAGACATTAGCTACTAAGATACTGACCTATCATGGAGAACCTATCCTTCTACATACACACAGACATTAGCAACTAAAATACTGACCTATCATGGAGGACCTATCCTCCTACATACAAACATACAGACATTAGCTACTAAGATACTGACCTATCATGGAGGACCTATCCTCCTACATACAAACATACAGACATTAGCTACTAAGATACTGACCTATCATGGAGGACCTATCCTCCTACATACAAACATACAGACATTAGCTACTAAGATACTGACCTATCATGGAGGACCTATCCTCCTACATACAAACATACAGACATTAGCTACTAAGATACTGACCTATCATGGAGGACCTATCCTCCTACATACAAACACACAGACATTAGCTACTAAGATACTGACCTATCATGGAGGACCTATCCTCCTACATACAAACATACAGACATTAGCTACTAAGATACTGACCTATCATGGAGGACCTATCCTCCTACATACAAACATAGAGACATTAGCTACTAAGATACTGACCTATCATGGAGAACCTATCCTCCTACATACACACAGACATTAGCAACTAAAATACTGACCTATCATGGAGGACCTATCCTCCTACATACAAACATACAGACATTAGCTACTAAGATACTGACCTATCATGAGGACCTATCCTCCTACATACACACAGACATTAGCAACTAAGATACCGACCTATCATGGAGGACCTATCCTCCTACATACACACAGACATTAGCTACTAAGATACTGACCTATCATGGAGGACCTATCCTCCTACATACAAACACACAGACATTAGCAACTAAAATACTGACCTATCATGGAGGACCTATCCTCATACATACACACAGACATTAGCAACTAAAATACTGACCTATCATGGAGGACCTATTCTCATACATACATACAGACATTAGCTACTAAGATACTGACCTATCATGGAGGACCTATCCTCCTACATACACACAGACATTAGCAACTAAAATACTGACCTATCATGGAGGACCTATCCTCCTACATACACACAGACATTAGCTACTAAGATACTGACCTATCATGGAGGACCTATCCTCCTACATACACACAGACATTAGCTACTAAGATACTGACCTATCATGGAGGACCTATCCTCCTACATACAAACATACAGACATTAGCTACTAAGATACTGACCTATCATGGAGGACCTATCCTTCTACATACACACAGTTATTAGGAACTAAAATACTGACCTATCATGGAGGACCTATCCTCATACATACACACAGACATTAGCAACTAAAATACTGACCTATCATGGAGAACCTATCCTCATACAAACATACACACAGACATTAGCTACTAAAATACTGACCTATCATGGAGGACCTATCCTCCTACATACACACAGACATTAGCAACTAAAATACTGACCTATCATGGAGGACCTATCCTCCTACATACAAACATACAGACATTAGCTACTAAGATACTGACCTATCATGGAGGACCTATCCTCCTACATACAAACACACAGACATTAGCTACTAAGATACTGACCTATCATGGAGGACCTATCCTCCTACATACACACAGACATTAGCTACTAAGATACTGACCTATCATGGAGGACCTATCCTCCTACATACACACAGACAGACATTAGCTACTAAGATACTGACCTATCATGGAGGACCTATCCTCCTACATACACACACACAGACATTAGCTACTAAGATACTGACCTATCATGGAGGACCTATCCTCCTACATACACACAGACAGACATTAGCTACTAAGATACTGACCTATCATGGAGGACCTATCCTCCTACATAAACACACACAGACATTAGCTACTAAAATACTGACCTATCATGGAGGACCTATCCTCATACATACACACAGACATTAGTTACTAAGATACTGACCTATCATGGAGGACCTATCCTCCTACATACACACAGACATTAGCTACTAAGATACTGACCTATCATGGAGGACCTATCCTCCTACATACAAACATACAGACATTAGCTACTAAGATACTGACCTATCATGGAGGACCTATCCTTCTACATACAAACATACAGACATTAGCTACTAAGATACTGACCTATCATGGAGGACCTATCCTCATACATACAAACATACAGACATTAGCTACTAAGATACCGACCTATCATGGAGGACCTATCCTCCTACATACACACAGACATTAGCAACTAAAATACTGACCTATCATGGAGGACCTATCCTCCTACATACACACAGACATTAGCTACTAAGATACTGACCTATCATGGAGGACCTATCCTCCTACATACAAACACACAGACATTAGCTACTAAGATACTGACCTATCATGGAGGACCTATCCTCCTACATACACACAGACATTAGCTACTAAGATACTGACCTATCATGGAGGACCTATCATCCTACATACACACAGACATTAGCTACTAAGATACTGACCTATCATGGAGAACCTATCCTCCTACATACAAACATACAGACATTAGCTACTAAGATACTGACCTATCATGGAGGACCTATCCTTCTACATACAAACATACAGACATTAGCTACTAAGATACTGACCTATCATGGAGGACCTATCCTTCTACATACAAACATACATACATTAGCTACTAAGATACTGACCTATCATGGAGGACCTATCCTTCTACATACAAACATACAGACATTAGCTACTAATATACCGACCTATCATGGAGGACCTATCCTAAGACATACAAACATACCTACTAAGATACTGACCTATCATGGAGGACCTATCCTTCTACATACAAACATACAGACATTAGCTACTAAGATACTGACCTATCATGGAGGACCTATCCTTCTACATACAAACATACAGACATTAGCTACTAAGATACTGACCTATCATGGAGGACCTATCCTTCTACATACACACAGACATTAGCTACTAAGATACTGACCTATCATGGAGGACCTATCCTTCTACATACAAACATACAGACATTAGCTACTAAGATACTGACCTACCATGGAGGACCTATCCTCATACAAACATACACACAGACATTAGCTACTAAGATACCGACCTATCATGGAGAACCTATCCTCCTACATACACACAGACATTAGCTACTAAGATACTGACCTATCATGGAGGACCTATCCTCCTACATACAAACATACAGACATTAGCAACTAAAATACTGACCTATCATGGAGAACCTATCCTCCTACATACAAACATACAGACATTAGCAACTAAAATAGACATCATGTAGCCTACTCCTAAGATACAAACATACATACAGACATTAGCAACTAAAATACCGACCTATCATGGAGGACCTATCCTCCTACATACAAACATACATACAGACATTAGCAACTAAAATACTGACCTATCATGGAGGACCTATCCTCCTACATACAAACACACAGACATTAGCTACTAAGATACTGACCTATCATGGAGGACCTATCCTCATACATACAAACATACAGACATTAGCTACTAAGATACTGACCTATCATGGAGGACCTATCCTCATACATACACACAGACAGACATTAGCTACTAAGATACTGACCTATCATGGAGAACCTATCCTCCTACATACAAACATACAGACATTAGCTACTAAGATACTGACCTATCATGGAGGACCTATCCTTCTACATACAAACATACAGACATTAGCTACTAAGATACTGACCTATCATGGAGGACCTATCCTCATACATACACACAGACAGACATTAGCTACTAAGATACCGACCTATCAAGGAGGACCTATCCTTCTACATACAAACACACAGACATTAGCTACTAAGATACTGACCTATCATGGAGGACCTATCCTCATACATACACACAGACAGACATTTACAACTAACACACTAACCTGTGGTGTATGTCTTGTTGATGTAGGCAGCAAAGTTGCGAGTCTCGTGCTGACGCTGCCAGTCCAGGGACGAGCAGTTGGCGTTGTTGGTGTACACATTGTGGTTGTGTACATACATGCCGGTGAGGAATGTGCTTCTGGAAGGGCAGCACATTGGGGTCGGCACGAAGGAGTTGTTGAAGTAGACTCCCTGGCGGATCAGCAAGTTTTGCAGCTTGGGCATGTACTTGAGGGAACCTGCAAAGAATACAAAGGAACTTAACATATAACACATAGTTATAAGGGTACTGTTTGAGGGAACATGCAACAGAATACAGAGGAACCTAACATATATAACACATAGCTACGACGGTACTGTCTGAGGGAACATGCAACAGAATATAGAGGAACATAACATATATAACACATGGCTATGAGGGTACTGCCTGAGGGAACATGCAACAGAATATAGAGGAACATAACATATATAACACATGGCTATGAGGGTACTGCCTGAGGGAACATGCAACAGAATATAGAGGAACATAACATATATAACACATGGCTATGAGGGTACTGCCTGAGGGAACATGCAACAGATTACAGAGGATCTAACATATAACACATTACTATGAGGGTACTGATTGAGGGAAAATGCAACAGATTACAGAAGAACCTGACATATAACACATAGATAAAGCGTACTGTCTGAGGGAACATGAAACAGATTACAGAGGATCCTAACATATAACACATAGCTATGACGGTACTGTCTGAGGGAACATGCAACAGATTACAGAGGATCCTAACATATAACACATAGATATAAGTGTACTGTCTGAGGGAACATGCAACAGATTACAGAGGATCCTAACATATAACACATAGCTATGACGGTACTGTCTGAGGGAACATGCAACAGATTACAGAGGATCCTAACATATAACACATAGATATAAGCTTACTGTCTGAGGGAACATGCAACAGATTACAGAGGATCCCAACATATAACACATAGCTATAAGCGTAATGTCTGAGGGAACATGCAACAGATTACAGAGGATCCTAAAATATAACACATAGCTATGACGGTACTGTCTGAGGGAACATGCAACAGATTACAGAGGATCCTAACATATAACACATAGCTATAAGCGTAATGTCTGAGGGAACATGCAACAGATTACAGAGGATCCTAAAATATAACACATAGCTATGAGGGTACTGTCTGAGGGAACATGCAACAGATTACAGAGGATCCCAACATATAACACATAGCTATAAGCGTAATGTCTGAGGGAACATGCAACAGATTACAGAGGATCCTAAAATATAACACATAGCTATGAGGGTACTGTCTGAGGGAACATGCAACAGATTACAGAGGATCCTAAAATATAACACATAGCTATGAGGGTACTGTCTGAGGGAACATGCAACAGATTACAGAGGATCCTAAAATATAACACATAGCTATGAGGGTACTGTCTGAGGGAACATGCAACAGATTACAGAGGATCCTAAAATATAACACATAGCTATGAGGGTACTGTCTGAGGGAACATGCAACAGATTACAGAGGATCCTAAAATATAACACATAGCTATAAGCGTACTGTCTGAGGGAACATGCAACAGATTACAGAGGATCCTAACATATAACACATAGCTATGAGGGTACTGTCTGAGGTAACATGCAACAGATTACAGAGGATCCTAAAATATAACACATAGCTATGAGGGTACTGTCTGAGGGAACATGCAACAGATTACAGAGGATCCTAAAATATAACACATAGCTATGAGGGTACTGTCTGAGGGAACATGCAACAGATTACAGAGGATCCTAACATATAACACATAGCTATGAGGGTACTGTCTGAGGGAACATGCAACAGATTACAGAGGATCCTAACATATAACACATAGCTATGAGGGTACTGTCTGAGGGAACATGCAACAGATTACAGAGGATCCTAACATATAACACATAGCTATGAGGGTACTGTCTGAGGGAACATGCAACAGATTACAGAGGATCCTAACATATAACACATAGCTATGAGGGTACTGTCTGAGGGAACATGCAACAGATTACAGAGGATCCTAACATATAACACATAGCTATGAGGGTACTGTCTGAGGGAACATGCAACAGATTACAGAGGATCCTAACATATAACACATAGCTATGAGGGTACTGTCTGAGGGAACATGCAACAGATTACAGAGGATCCTAACATATAACACATAGCTATGAGGGTACTGTCTGAGGGAACCTTAATTACAGCGCACAAGGCCTTTCTTAAAAATACAGTAATTTAATAAAACTATACTATTTTTTTTTTCACTACCAATAATACACACACACACACATACACACACACACACCCACACACACACATACACACACACACACACACATACACACACACACACACACACACACCCACACACACACATACACACACACACACACACACACAAATAATGTATGTGTAAATATAATCATAACCAGTATGTCTACATATTTTGCAGCTGCAACAAGTAGCAAAGCTATTACACAGACGTCCTGGCCACTGCCTAAATACATCATGTCATCGAAACCCTTAAACGTCAGAAAACCAGCTTTCTTGGGACAATGGGGTTCATGAAGACATTTCTGGGAAGTAAAGGTGGGCGGTATATTGACCACATCACTCAGTGAGTGCTACTTCCACTATAAGACACACAGAAATCAACTTTACTGCAGACTCATACAGCAGAACATCCTAATCCCACAAACAGCAACTCACCCAATAAAACATCCTAATCCCACAACAGCAACTCACCCAATAAAACATCCTAATCCCACAACAGCAACTCACCCAATAAAACATCCTGATCCCAGAACAGCAACTCACCCAATAAAACATCCTGATCCCACAACAGCAACTCACCCAATAAAACATCCTAATCCCACAACAGCAACTCACCCAATAAAACATCCTGATCCCACAACAGCAACTCACCCAATAAAACATCCTAATCCCACAACAGCAACTCACCCAATAAAACATCCTAATCCTACAACAGCAACTCACCCAATAAAACATCCTAATCCTACAACAGCA